ACTTCTGTAACTCCAAAAATTCTAAAAAATAGGACGCCCTAAATAATCTGTATAGTGATCTACTGCAGTTGGAATTGGTATTTTATCGCTCTCTGGTAAAAAATGAAAATTATTCTCGTGAGCGCATACTTTCTGTTTTTTTCAGCAAGATCAAACAACAATCACCCAAGAAGATCCTAAAAGCTTTACTTGGCACAAACACTAATTAAACAAAAACACAATCATAACAGAGGCTAGATAAATTATTTATTACTAAACATGAACAAAAGTAAAGAACAAAAATAAAATTGGGTTGCCTCCCAACAAGCGCTATCGTTTAATGCCCCTAGCTAGGCATCTATAATTTTAATGATGCTCACATGAAAGATAGCAATTGAAACACGAAGGGAGAATCATGAAGCATGTGATAAACACATCTAAGTCTAACATACTTCCTATGCATAGGCATCTTATAGGCAAAAAATTATCATAGCAAGCAAAAACTAGCATATGCAAGGAAGTGGAAAGAAACAATAGCAATCTCAACATAACGAGAGGTAATTTAGCAACATGAAAATTTCTACAACCATATTTTCCTATCTCATAATAATTACATGTAGGATCATAATCAAATTCAACAATATAGCTATCACATAAATTTCTCAACACGATCCACATGCATGCAAAGTTGACACTCTTCCAAAATAGTGGGGTTAACATTAACTAAAATCATGACCTCCCCAAACCCACTTTTATCAAAAACTTCATAAGATTGAACATTCTCCAAATATGTGGGATCTAAAGTTGACACTTTTCCAGACCCACTTTCAATATTATTGCAAACATTATTATCAATCTCATATTCATCATGGGGCTTAAATAAATTTTCAAGATCATAAGAAGAATCACCCCAATCATGACCATTGCAACAAGTAGATGACATAGCAAAACTAGCATCCCCAAGCTTAGGGTTCTGCATATTATTAGCACAATTTACATCAATAGAATTTATAATAAAATCACTGCAATCATGCTTTTTATTCAAAGATCTACCGTGAATCGCTTCATAAAGTAATTCATCACACTTTTCGGATTCATGAATTTCAAGCAAAACCCCATAAAGATAATCTAGTGCACCCAACTCACTAGCAATTGGTTCATCATAATTGGATCTTTTAAAAAGATTAGCAAGAGGATGACGATCCATAACAATAGATATTTAGCAAGCGAAGATGCAAGCTAATAGAAGGCACATGGTAACATGAGCAAACAGAAGGACGAACGGAAGAGGGCGAATAAAACGGCAAAGGTGAAGTGGGGGAGAGGAAAACGAGAGGCGAATGGCAAATAATGTAATGCGAGGGATAAGAGTTTGTGATGGGTACTTGGTATGTCTTGACTTGAGCATAGATCTCCCCGGCAACGGCGCCAGAAATCCTTCTTGCTACCTCTTGAGCATGCGTTGGTTTTCCCTTGAAGAGGAAAGGGTGATCCAGCAAAGTAGCGTAAGTATTTCCCTCACTTTTTGAGAACCAGGTATCAATCCAGCAGGAGACTACACACAAATCGCCTATTACCTGCACAAAAAAATCAAGAACCTAGCAACCAACGCAATAAAGGGTTGTCAATCCCTTCATGGCCACTTGCAAAGTGAGATCTGATAGAGATAGTAAGATAAATATTTTTAGTATTTTTGTTGTATAGATTGAAAAGTAAAGATTGCAAAATAAACAACAACAGAAATTCGCAAGTTGACGGGGAAACTAATATGATGTAAAATAGACCCGGGGGCCATAGGTTTCACTAGTGGCTTCTCTCATGATAGCATATATTACGGTGGGTGAACAAATTACTGCCGAGCAATTGATAGAAAAGCGCACAATTATGAGAATATCTAGGCATGATCATGAACATAGGCATCACGTCCGTGTCAAGTAGACCGAAACGATTCTGCATCTACTACTATTACTCCACACATCGACCGCTATCCAGCATGCATCTAAAGTATTAAGTTCGTAAGAACAGAGTAACGCATTAGGCAAGATGACATGATGTAGAGGGATAAACTCAAGCAATATGATATAAACCCCATCTTTTTATACTCAATGACAACAATACAATACGTGCCTTGCTGCCCCTGCTGTCACTGGGAAAGGACACCGCAAGATTGAACCCAAAGCTAAGCACTTCTCCCATTGCAAGAAAGATCAATCTAGTAGGCCAAACTAAACCGATAATTTGAAGAGACTTGCAAAGATATCAAATCATGCATATAAGAATTCAGAGAACTACCAAATATTGTTCATAGATAATCTTGATCATAAACCAACAATTCATCGGATCTCGGCAAACACACCGCAAAAAGTATTACATCAAATAGATCTCCAAGAACACCGAGGAGAACTTTGTATTGAGAACCAAAGAGAGAGAAGAAGCCATCTAGCTAATAAATATGGACCCGAAGGTCTATGGTAAACTACTCACACATCATCGGAGAGGCTATGGTGTTGATGTAGAAGCCCTCCGTGATAGAATCCCCCTCCGGCAGATCGCTGGAAGAGGCCCCAAGATGGGATCTACGGGTACAGAAGGTTGCGGCGGTGGAAAAGTGGTTTCATGGCTCCCCTGGATGTTTTCAGGGTATAAGAGTATATATAGGCGAAAGAAGTAGGTCGGTGGAGCTATGAGGGGCCCACGAGGGTAGGGGGCGCGCCCTCCTGCCTCGTGGCCACCTCGTTGCGTCTCTGACTTCCACACCAAGTCTCCTGGATGACGTTTGTTCCAAGAAAGATCCTCGGAAAGGTTTCGTTTCGTTTGGATTCTATTTGATATTCCTTTTCTGTGAAACACTGAAATAGGCAAAAAAACAACAATTTGCACTGGGCCTTCGGTTAATAGGTTAGTCCCAAAAATAATATAAAGGTGCGTATTAAAGCCCATTAAACATCCAAAACAGATAATATAATAGCATGGATCAATAAAAAATTATAGATACGTTGGAGACGTATCATCGACCCGAAGGGTTTACCCACAACGAGCGGGTGCCGCTGGCGTTGGGCTGCCGGAGAGGGCAAGCCATGGGCGTCAGAGGGATTGGAGCGCCTGGAAACACAGGGAGGAGGACCCGAAGGCGGCGATGAACGGGCGGAACGGGGATGCACGGGCGACGGGCGCCGAGCAGAAGGCTGAGCAGATAGCCGTCGACGAGAGTGGGGATGGCGCGGAGGCGGGGCCAGCCGTCGGGCGGCGCCACAATGCCTGCGCCCGTCCCAGGTCGGAGCGACCAACAACCCCCCAGGCACGCTTGTGTCTGTCTCCTCTTCGCAAGGTGGTACCTTGCAACCTGGCGGGCCGAGACGAGCTCAGCCGCGGTGGCGTCGTCGGCGGCCGCCGCGAGCCGGTGGCAAAACCCCGCGCGAGGGGGGCTGAGCCACCAGCCACGTCGGGCGGCGTAGCACAACGGGGGACCGGGATGGGAGGGAAGGGGACGAAGCGGGGGAGGGCGCGGGCTCCTTGTCGGCGAGGCCAGCCCAGCGGAGCCGAGCAGGGGCGAGCACGGCCGACTCCGGCACGGACGCCGTCGGCGGCAACGAGGGCGGCAGACACTCCGGCACGACGCAGGGGAGGGTGGGGGCGGCGGGGGAGGCGCACGCCGCGAGCGGGCGCGCGTCGCCAGGGCCGTCGCCAGAGCACTCCGCCATCTCTCCGGGTTTAGAAGCTTGAGCACTGATCTTTGATCAATTGTATTTGGTTTCTGTTTCTGGGTTATTTTTTTGAGAAGCCTGTACATTTTTGCAGCCCAGCCGAGGCCCGACCCAATGAAACATGCACTTGAAAGAGGAAGGGACGTACTTGCAGGCCTAGCCGAGGCCCAACCCAATACAGAATACACTTGGAAGAGGAGGGGACATAGAGGAATGGGAACACCGAGCCAACCAAGGAACGAATCGTTTTTTAACAAAAAAAAATCTCTTCCTCCTTTTGAATCTCAGCCGTCAATCTTTATGATAAAGATAAAATCAAGAAACGAAAAAGGATGACGTATGGAGAATTATGAAAATTTCCATCCTTAATACTAGGGTATAGATATCTGTTTTGCTAAAGCACATCTAGATGTGCCATAAGTATTGCACATCTAATTCCTATGTTATTGATCTTACATTGAGATTCATGGGGATGTTTTTTTTGTTCTTTTTTTCCTTTTATGCTTGATTCACTCACTTAGATGTGCAATAATCCGATAGATATCGCAAATATTGTGGAATGTTTAACGGTGCCATAGTGATTTTTTCAATCTTCGCGGTGTCTACAAATGATGAAGTTAGGGATGTGTGGATGCGTCGGGCTGAGCAAACATAGGATAAACTCAAAGCTGAGAAGAACAGAGGAAAAACTCAAAGCTGGAGATCTTGCCGGCGGGCAGAAAACGTCGGCCGGCCGGCCGGCCGGCGCCCGCCTTAACTAGCCGCTATCCCGGGCACCCTGATCCAACTGCCGTTCACGTGCAGGAGCAGCCGACGGCCGCACGAGGCCTACCACTACCGGTTAACCGCCAGCCAGAGCCAACGCTCGGCTCAGTCAGTCCAGCCTGCGCCCCCCTCCACCGCCACCCTGGCCCCACAACGGATGCACCAACCCCACTGGGCGCCGGGCCCCACCACGAAACACACCTAATATGACACCACCTCCCCCACCCACCTCACTCTCTCTCCGGCCCTCCCTCCTCGTTTTGCCGGCCTCCCTCGCCACCTCGCCTCGCCTCGCCCTCTATTTCGAATCCCGCACAGCCGACGTCTAGCGGGGCGCGCCGCCGCTGCGACGGGGAGGGGGCTGTGACCCTATCCCGCCGCGCCGCCTCCCCTTCCGGCCTGCCGCTCGCGGCACGCGCGTCGGGCGGGGCCTGACCGGGACGTTTTGCGGGGACGAGATCTCACAGCCCACGCCTGCTGCGGCTGGGATTGTGGAGGTTTGGAAGCGGCCGGTGCGTGCTGCAGCGGAGGAGGAGGAGGAGGGCCGCGGCCATGGCGGGGTCGAGGTTCGGGTCGTTCAAGTCGGACAAGGGGGACTCGGCCGCGGCGGCCGCGGCGCCGCCCCAGAGGAAGGACCCGTATGAGGTGCTCGGGGTGGCCCGCACCGCCACCGACCAGGAGATCAAGAGCGCCTTCCGCCGCATGGCGCTCAAGTAAGGCCGCTCGCCGGCTCTGTCTCAGATTCGGGCTATCGTCGTGCTGCTGCTGCTGCTGTTGTTTGTTGTTTTTTTTCCCTCACCACACTGGTGTGGCCGTGTCCGTGTTTAGGTGGGAGGTTTCGTTCGTATGTGCGCGGAACAGTGCGCATTTTGGACATCATTTAGGCACCTTTGCGTGTGCTTGTTTAGTGAAGTTTTCAGCTACGTCTGTCACCAATTGCGTGTTTAGGCTTTTCTTTCCAGTCTCGGTTGGGGGCCACTTTTTTCTTTTCTAAACGTTTGTTGGTGCATGTAGTGATAGCTTGATGTAGAAATCTGATGACCCTTGGTACATACTGATTTCAGTGTTGCTGTTACTGCTAAATTTCGGCAGGTACCATCCGGATAAGAATGCTGATGACCCTGTCGCATCAGACAAGTTCCAGGAAGTCACCTTTTCTTACAGCATTCTCTCGGATCCCCATAAAAGGCGGCAGTACGACACGTCAGGATTCGAGGTAATCAACTGATGAATCGGTGTGTGTTAACCATTTTATCTGAACATGGTATGGTAACTGTTGCACGATGTTTCAGGCCATCGAAACTGATAGCCAGGAATTGGAGCTGGACCTATCCAGTCTCAATACCGTAAACACCATGTTTGCAGCTATTTTCAGGTACACTTTCTAAATGTTACATTTTTCCTCCAGTAATTTGCTAGCCTTGCTGTTGTTTTGATTTAAGGCACATATGTGCAGCAAGCTTGGTGTACCAATTAAGACAACTGTTTCAGCAACCGTTTTGGAGGAAGCATTAAATGGGTCTATTGTGGTTTCCCAGCTCCAGCTAGGAAACTCTGTGCGCAAGAAGGTTGGCAACTAGCTGTCCATTATGATCTCTTTCTTTTCCATGTTAGTAAGACTTAAGTTGTTGCATGTGTCCAGGTGGAAAAGCAAACAGCTCATTTTTATTCTATAGACATCACAGAACAAGAAGCTAAGAAGGGGCTAGTTTGCCGTGTGCATTCAACTGAAAAAAGCAAATTTAAGGTTGGTTTTCAGAAGCAAATTACCTTTCCCATTATTTCCTCTGTTTAAGTTCACTAAATGGATGTGTATGTTTTTGTTTGCTTTTGTCAAGTTTTCTAGTTGTATACCTTTCTTCCTACATTTTCCATGTGTTCAACAATTATTATTTCTTTATTACATGAATTTATGGTACACTACTTATCTTGCATTTTTATATATGCCATATATTTTTGGTAGGTTTATTCGACCAGGCTCTAATGAGATTTACATGAATTAATTTCGCATTAGCACTAGCCAAGTTTCATGGTGTTGGTTGGTGGATTGGATGCAAATGCATATTCATATGTGTAATAATTACTTTATCAGATCCAAAATTTAAGTCATATAGGACATGGCACAATTTTGACGATGGTAGGTTAGACCATAAATTCCTGGGCAAGCATGTTGCCACAATAAATGGTTATACATTATAAAAGTATATTTCATGATAAATAGTAATATTAACCTGATGTTTTAGATGCTAGTAATTGTTTTGGCTGATGAAGTTCTAAGGGGACTTGCATTTTGGATCGGATGTAGTATATCACTACTCTTGGTCCTGGTATGCGCGAATTCTAAATTTGTACCAATTGTTCTTAGGAGTACCGTTTCCTGTTAGGCAATTTTTTGTGAAACTCTTTGTTTCTGTGTCGTGGAGAATGTATGATTTCTTGTAAGATTCCATGAAGTAAACATTTGGCTCTCCTCTTTTACAATGATTGAACTACAGCCATATTAGTACTGCCAACTCTTCCTTTTCTTTCAGTTTGCACTCTTCGTTTTCACTTTCTTAAGTGCACTGTGTGACTGACTAAAGCACTCTGTTTGGCTGGAAGCCAAATTTTGCCACTCTCCTTAGCCAACTTTTTTGTTTGTAGCCATAACTTAGGTGTGTGGCATGCCAAACCTTTTGCTGTAGTTAGGTCTCATGAGTCATAGATCTATGAAGGTTTCACAAGATCACTTGGTCAAGCCAAGTGGTAGCTTCATCATTCTTAGCCACAAGTTAGCCATGTTAGGCCAAAAATGTTTGGCATGCTTAGGTACTCTTAGGTTTCAACCAAACAGGCCCTTTGTTCACCAGATTGCTTTTGGTTGTCACAAATGAAAGAAAAAGACAAACTGACCTTTTGCTTGAAGTCCAGTGGGTAGATTGAGTGCGTAGAATGCAATGTGGGTGGTCCTACTAGTTGCGTATGATTAGTAGTAGGTAGGGGTAATAGTTTATTCACTACTCTAGATTAATTGGAATGTTACTATTCAACAAATAGCAGAAAGGAGTCATATAAGGGCATCTCCCATAGCAGAGATAATAGTTGTGTCTGCCAAGGCTCCACATTATCTCATATCAATATTTTAGTCAGCCATGAGCCCACTAAAGTGGTAGAGACAATGGTTTACTCTATTGAACACTGAAAATTGGCCCACACGCTCTGTGCCCGTAGACGTAACTACGTAAGAGATGGCTTGGGTTGTCTTTGGAGTTCTCTTTCTTCCAGATCACCCAAAATCCAACATGGCAAAGCAAATACACAACCCACATCACACTATTTTTATGCCCAAAGTCAGAATTGTCTAACATATTATTAGGTGATAAAAAATAGTTTTGCCCTACCACGTTATAACTAATATGCATTGACACATGTGCTGTGACTCTCAAGAGGCAGGGAGGGAGGGCCCAAGACATCTCACATCCAAGAGTATGGAGTATGCAGGCCAGTGTTTATAAATTGATAGGGGGAACCCCATTCTGATGGTATCTAGCATTAACCAACCATGATGTGATAGAGACAGCTATTGTCTACGCTGTGATACGAGTTAACCCATAAACTTATCACTATATGGTGGCCCTTTTCTGTCAAAGCCATAATTTTATTGGAAGTGTGATGTACATCTACAAAGTAGCGAGTGAATTAAACAGTTCTATGAATATATTTGACAAATCCCTAATATTATCCCACTGTATTGTACCCCAGTGTAACTTTTTTGTTGTTGTATAAACCTGTTTTTCTGAGGTTATGCAATTTTTATGAGATGAGTTCTTTTTGTTGTGCTATTTTTTATCATGCTATGTCTGTCATAGTTTAAGCATTTAGTGCATGTTCTATTCGATGGATGTTTCAAGCGCTCCAAATTTCACAATGTTTTCCTTTACTTGGGCCTCTATAAAATATGACTTTGTTTTTTTTTCTTTAATTGCAGCTGCTTTATTTTGAGCTCGAAGAAAATGGTGGGTTGAGCCTTGCACTGCAGGTACATATACCAAACTTATCTCTCTCCTTTTTCCCATTGATACTAAAAGGAATGCTTATTCATATATAACTTAAATAATTGAAATCGGCTGGAGGAGTCAAGCATCAGTGCATCACTATTATATACTACTCCGAGCAATATGATTTGTGAATTGCCTTATTCATCTTAAGAATTTATGATTACTCCCTCCGTCTCAAAATAAGTGTCTCAAGCTTAGTACAAAGTTAGTACAAAGTTGAGACACTTATTTTGGGACGGAGGGAGCATTATTTAAAGTATGACAATATGAAATACCACATTACCTGTGGTATTACAGTATTAGTACTAAACTTGACATGAGCAAGTTTAAGGATTTGTATGTTTTTGTCTGGTAGATTTATTGTTAAACTGCAATGCCACGAAAGTAGCAAATATTTGCTTGGATGAGCTTCCGTTTATCAAGTGTGCTAGAACAGTTGTTGTGTTTAGATTTGTGATGTGTTGCTGCTTGAGTATGTTTCACTAACATGCAGCTTACTGCAGGAAGATAGCGTAAAATCCAGCAAAGTTTCTTCTGCAGGAATGTACTTTCTTGGGTTCCCCGTGTATCGTTTTGAGCAAAATAACTCAGTGAGTTTACTAAAGTTCTTCTCTTTGGGTTATCCAAGTGATTGGATGAAATTTTCCACCTTTCTAAGCTACGGTTACTTTCAGGCACCAGCTGCGAAGGATCCTGATAGTGCATTCTTTAAAAGGTTGGATAGTTTCCAACCATGTGACATTAATGAACTGAAACCAGGAACCCACTTTTTTGCCGTCTATGGTAATGTCGTTTATTGATTGCTGTGGTGTTCATTAACTTAGTCAGTGTGGGACATCCTAAACTCAGATTCCTAATTCAGGTGACAATTTCTTCAAAAGTGCAACATATACTATAGAGATTGTCTGCGCTGAATCTTTCCCTACTGAAAAGGAGAAGCTACAGAGTGTGGAGGCAAAGATACTTACAAAAAGAGCTGAGCTGTCTAAATTCGAGACAGAGTACCGTGAAGTATGTGCTCACCTTTCTTTACATTTATTTTCTATCAGGTTCTTTCTTTGCACATCTAGCATGGAAGAGCTACATTCTTAAACAACACAATTTGCAGGTCTTGGCAAAGTTCACTGAAATGACTAGCAAATACACACAAGAAATGCAAATGGTATGTTCCGTTCTGATGCTTTAGCTCATTTTGCTTCTTATGATGGTCTGATCTGGGTATTCGTGGCCTTCTGTAGATTGATGAGCTTCTTAATGAAAGGAATGTAATCCATGCATCCTATACCAACAATCCACCTCTAAAACGGACTTCGAGCAGGAATAAATCTAAATCATCACCTTCTTTCAAATATGATGAAGAAAAAAACCAGAGGAAAGAAAAGAAAGTGAAGGATCAGCACATGGAAGCCTGCGGAAGCGAAGATGACGACTCGAGTGATAAGAAAACCAAAGAGCGGTTCCCAAGGAAGAGATGGCTAAACATTCCTTTCAAAGTTGACAGGAGAAAGCCATGCTGACCATAATGGTAATAAGTTAATAACCTAGTCTTCTTCAGCCGTGCTATTCTGCTGTGAATCATCCTCTGCACCACAGTACTAATATTTCACATTTTATGCTGTTTCTGTAGGTAAGCTTACAAGTGAAATACAAACTATTTTCATTTTGACTGCCCCAGAAGAACTCATTCGCCATTACCTTTTTCCTTAGTGTTGTCTATTATATTTCCTGCAAAGATTGGGTGCAACCCTGAGTTCATATGATGTATGGCTACGAGGCACGAGCACTCGTAGCTTCTAAGGGTGCTGCCACCGTAGTCCAGTTCCATATTCTTGAGTGTGATAATGTCAATTTTGATTTCATTGGCTGTGTAATCAGTTGTAAATATTAGTTATCTCGTCTCTGTTGCACATTATCTCTTTCCCCGCTTTCGAATCCTGATGTGTAATTAACTAAACACAATATTTCCCCCTCCATGAATTCATTTATAGTTTACTGGAAAATATGAGCAATATTCAAATAACCACAATTCACAAGTAAAAATGATGCAGTTAAGAAAGAAAAACATTTAGGACAAGGTTATACAACCTAACATGATATGGTATTATAAACAAAGACACAAGGTAGTACAGAGCTTGGTTAATATCTCACAGCAGGCCAAGAAACGTGTGAACACTTGGAAATATCCAGTCGTGAAAATTTGTGGGGAATTTTGAATATAAAAACTGAAAGTAAATCATAATTATTCTGAAATACTAGGAAATTGAGGAAATTTATGTGCTTATGAAGTGAACACACGTTGGATGGGTCAATGAAGTGGACGGAAAAGCAAAGGACAAGTGGAAACTATGACTTCATTAATAATCTTCCTTTTGTTTCATTTTGTTGCTTTGTAACTACTGAAATGTAGTGGTCAACGGACGTCTATTATTGCGAGGAACACCCGTAAGGTTTTCTAAGACTACTCATAGTGAGAATAACATAGACTATAACATTCATCTCACACAGAGAAAAAAGTTAATGTGACAAATAATTAAAGATGAGAGAGACAAATAAAATAACATAACATGTTACCATCATATATCACTTCTCAATGAAAAATAACTCTACAAAGTAACAAAGGAAGGCCTCTATTATCACACATATAACACTACTCACTATAAAAGTAGTAACATGTTACTAGTCCAAATTACACACCACTATGAACAGCCTAAAGAATCATCACTTATTTGGACATGGAGTATGTGAGCATGAGTGGACAGTAAATTCTAAAAGGTTACTAAAAAGCAAAAAAAAAAGATTTTTTGACAAGAAACATTGATATTTTTGCTAAACGTGTGCAGATTTTCTTCATAAAATCACACTCTTGGAGGTGTGGAAAAAAATCATTGCTCCAAAAAGTGTGTTTTTGGAACACTGTCGTGGTTTTGTCACGGCAGATGCCCTATCAAAAGGACTTACGTGTGGAATCATCGTAGCTAGGTTAGCTTAAAGGGGTTGAACGGGAAACAAGAGACACAAGGATTTACCCAGGTTCGGCCCCTCTCAAAGAGGTAAAAACCTACTCCTGCTTCTAGGTGTATTACTTAGGTTTCGATCACCAGGGAGCGAATACACTTGACCTAGTTATCGATCGATTGTTTCTTGAGGTTAACCCGCCGCCGGGTCACCCCTTTATATACAGGTTGATGCCCGATGGCTTACATAGTCCCGACCGGCTCACACAAACGTGTCCGGCTCGGTTTCCAACTAAACCTGCCTTACAGAACAAGTTATCATATGGCAGTTTACACCTTCGGGCCTCGCGTCACCTCCGATTCTTGGGCCTTCAGACGCCTTGGGCCTCCTCACCTTAAGCCGCCAACGGTGTGACCCGGCCCCTTCTGGGTCGGTTATACCTCGGAGCTATATCCCCAACATTAGGCCCCATGTTGATTTGAACTCGTTCACATCAATCTCCGTTTTTTGACTTAGTAGCATTTTTCATTCTCCAACTCTTGACCAAACCACCGTAACCCGCCATGACATCATAACCACTGTAAGCCGCCATGATATCACGCGCATTAATTCCGCATAAGGCCCAGGACACCTCAACAGATCTTTATCTTATGAACTTCCCGAAAATCGAGGCACCCTCTTTGCCAGCACAATCATTCTGCCCCCTCGATTCTCGCGCCTGCCATCTTACCTTTTCCTTATAAATAGGGACATGGGCCCTTCCTTTCACTTTTTACCCTTGCCTCCTCGTCTTTGTCTTCCTCCTCGCGACGCCTGATACGTCCATTTTGCATCATGCTTTTATATCGATATTTATTGCATTATGGAATGTTATTTCACTTTATGTCACAATACTTATGGCTATTCTCTCTTATTTTACAAGGTTTACATAAGGAGGGAGAATGCCGGCAGCTGGAATTCTGGGCTGGAAAAGGAGCAAATATTAGAGACTTATTCTGCGCAACTCCAAAAGTCCTGAAACTCCACGGAACATCTTAAAATAAATAAAGAAAAATCCTCGCCAAAGATGAAGGCCAGGGGGCCCACACCCTGCTCACGAGGGTGGGGGCGCGCCCCTACCTCGTGGGCCCCCCTGGTGGCTCTCTGATGTCCATCTTCTCCTATATGAAGTCTTTCGATGAGAAAAAAATAGAAGGAACTTTTCGGGACGAGACTCCGCCGCCACGAGGCGGAACCTTGGCGGAACCAATCTAGAGCTCCGGTAGAGCTGTTCTGCCAGGGATACTTCCCTCCGGGAGGGGGAAATCATCACCATCGTCATCACCAATGCTCCTCTCATCGGGAGAGGGCAATCTCCATCAACATCTTCACCAGCACCATCTCATCTCCAAACCCTAGTTCATCTCTTGTATCCAATTCTTGTCTCAAAGTCCGGGATTGGTGCTAGTAGGTTGCTAGTAGTGTTGATTACTCCTTGTAGTTGATGCTAGTTGGTTTATTTGGTGGAAGATCATATGTTCAGATCCTATATGCATATTACTTACCCCTCTGATTATGAACATGAATATACTTTGTGAGTAATTACGCCTGTTCCTGAGGACAAGGGAGAAGTCTTGCTATTAGTAGTCATGTGAATTTGGTATTCATTTGATATTTTGATAAGATGTATGTTGTCTAGCCTCTAGTGGTGTTATGTGAACGTCGACTACATAACACTTCACCATTATTTGGGCCTAGAGGAAGGCATTGGGAAGTAATAAGTAGATGATGGGTTGCTAGAGTGACAGAAGCTTAAACCCTAGTTTATGCGTTGCTTCGTAAGGGGCTGATTTGGATCCATATGTTTCATGCTATGGTTAGTTTTACCTTAATACTTTTGTTGTAGTTGCGGATGCTTGCAATAGAGGTTAATCATAAGTGGGACGCTTGTTCAAGTAAGAACAACACCCAAGCACCGGTCCACCCACATATCAAATTATCAAAGTATCGAACGCGAATCATATGAACGTGATGAAAACTAGCTTGACGATATTCCCATGTGTACTTAGGAGCGCTTTTCCTATTATAAGAGTTTGTTCCGTCTTGCCCTTTGCTACAAAAAGGATCGGGCCACCTTGCTGCACTTTATTTACTTTTGCTACTTGTTGCTTGTTACAATTTATCTTATCACAAAACTATTTGTTACTACTTATTTCAGTACTTGCAGAGAATACCTTGCTGAAAACCACTTATCATTTCCTTCTGCTCCTCGTTGGGTTCAATACTCTTACTTATCGAAAGGACTACGATAGATCCCCTATACTTGTGGGTCATCAACGCCTCTGCAAACCCGAGCTCCGTCGCCGCCGTCTTCCTCCAGCGTCATCAGCTCCGGCCGCTGCATCAACCTGAATGAACCAGAGAAATGCGGCGCACCTTCGCTGCTCATCAACGTCAGTAAGTACTCGTCTCCCCCCATAGTAGATCTGCATTAGGGTTTCAGCCGTTCGTCGGTGTTCTTCACCGTTCTTCACATTTTCCTTTTAGAACACATAGTTTGATCGGAAAACGATACTGAGGTCATGTAGTAGTAGTTTTAGCATCTCCTTCCAATCATAGAGATATCCTTTTGGTACAAGATCCTGTCTAAATATGCGAGTTCTTCCACTGCTGCAGCCTTAGGTTTAAAATTTATTTCAACTTTCTGAACTGCTGTAGATCCGAAATCATAGAGTTGATCCGTGGAACCAGTTTTTCAGTATTTAGCAAAATTTTCACTCGTAGGTCTATAGATGCCTGTGAATTGCAGTCATTCGGGCGGCTCATATGATATGGCATAACCCGCCAAACATCCTTACGCCCGTTTTAAACCGCCAATATATGTTCAGAATCTGTATAACCTGGCACTGTCTTCCGGTTTAATCGTACCAACCTTTGTAGCACGTATTTTCTTCATACGAATCTGCCTTGCACTTGCTTTCTGATCACTGGACAGCTTAACATCATGAACTTAATCTGGCAATATTTTCATTTCTAGGGTTTTAATCAAGAAAAAATGACCAAAACCGTTACCTCATGCAACTGGGTCGTCTCCACCGTGACAGAGCAATCTCTCCAAGAATTCGTTCAGGTAGGCGTCTTAGCCGCCAAAGATGTCATTCATTGGAGAGCTCCGGGGACCGAGACTATACCCACTCCAAAAGAAGGCGAAGTCATAGTTTTTTCTAATCATATGCTCTGGGGTTTTTCTCCACCTGGCTCAAAGTTTTTCCATGATGTGTTGCATTTCTTTAAACTCCACCCTCAAGACATCGAACCCAATTCCGTTTCCAATATCTGGAACTTCCAAGTTTATTGTGAAGTATACCTCCAAGAAGAGCCCACTGTGGACTTGTTCAGAGAATTTTATTATTTGAACCGCCAAACTGAATTCACAGATGGCCCCAGCTTAGAACTTGGCAGAATTTCTATTCAAAGACGAAAAGAAGTTGTCTTCCCTGCCGCCACACTGCCTAGCCATCCGAAAGACTAGAACCAAAATTGGTTTTACTGCCAAGACACATTTCCGGCTGATGAAAATCCA